TGGTGTTTTGTTTTACCATGTATAGAGTTTGACCTGTGGTATCTGGCATAATAATCATAAGTTTTCCAAAATAGTTGTTCTGATTATTCCCTGAGTACTTTTATAAGGTAACATTCAGAACCAGAGAGATCTTTGGTCTAAACCTTTTATTTCATAGGTGAGGGAATCAGGCCTGGAAGTTGAGTTCAGTGCTGTTAGTAATTAAAACACCTGGCACTGCCTGGGTGCCCTGGAGAAACGCCTAACGCTGTCGCTGCCACAGAGGAGTTGAGGGAAAGTTTTAGGCTGGAAAGGAAGGCTGAGGGCCGCAGGGTGAGCAGCTGCAGCGGGTGCGGAGGGAGCGGGGCCAGTCCTCACCCAGAGGCCTGGGAAAGCTCGGTGCCAAGGCGGAACTGGCCTCGGCAAGACGCTGTGACTCAGGTAGGAGACGGCACGAACGGTGAGAGCAGCAGGGGCAGAGCGCTATGGAGAGGAGGAGTGGGAAGGGAGGTGGGTTAGATGAGCAGGTCCCCGTGAGGCAGGTTTTTAGTACCATTGTGGCCAGGTCTCGTTACTTTGCATCCCAGAAGGTTCAACACTGCGAGTTGTCAGGCCCTGGTGAGCTGCGTAGCAAGCATCAGATTGGGACAGAGTAACTACTTACAGTAAGCCCACCAAAAAGGATCTGGCCGGCGAAAGTTTAGAATCAGGAAGAACTTTGGAGACAGGTCTCACTGTAGTTCAGGCTGGCCTGGAATCCACGGCAGTCCTCCTGCCTCAGCCTCCTAAGTGCTCGGGTTACCGGTGTGTACCACCACACCTAGCTGAAACTCCAAGTTAGAATTACAGGGACTTGATGGCTGGCTCTAAGGGATCGAAGAAGAGAAATCAACCCAAACTGACTCCAGGACACTGGCTGACACAAGCATTGTGGTTCAAGTAACGGTTTCCTCCCAGTGTATTTGAAAGTAGACCAACAGGGACAAGGCCAGGGAGAACTTCAAGGTTAAGCAGCGGCCTCCCTCCTGCACCTTCGCCGCCTTGTAGAGAACAAACTAGCTTATCTGCGAGAGTGCACATGAGTATAAAGTGGGGTTCGCAAGGGCCTTGCGTGTGAAGCCAGTGGCCCTGTCCCTGCGGCTGCAGAAACCCGAGGGCCAGGCAGGCCGTGCGAGGTGTGGCTCCTGCTCCCACCAGCGGGCCTGCTGGCCATGGGGTGGCCTGGGAGGAGCACAGGGTCGGAGTGGGGCAGCACAGAGAGGCGGGGTCACAGGGCCTGGGCACAGAACAGAGTCGCAGGAGGCCGAGTCCTGACTTGCTTGTGATATTTGTGTAGATAGAAGAAATAAATGAGCAAATTCGGAAAGAGAAAGAGGAGGCCGAAGCCCGCATGCGACAAGCATCTAAGAATGCAGAGAAGTCCACTGGAGGAGGCGGAAGTAGCAGTAGAAATTGGCCAGAAGACGATCTGCAGTTACTAATTAAAGCTGTGAATCTCTTCCCCGCTGGAACCAATTCAAGGTACTGGTTTTCATGGAAACTTTCCACACAGGAGCCTGGAGGCAAAAATGCAAATAGCACCACTGGTTATTGGAGAAACTTAGCTAAACCTTAATCTAGAAAAGCTGCCTGCCACCACATTCAGGGCGTTAGTGGAAAGGACGAAAGCAGTTTGCATTCTGAACCTTGTCTCACCCAGTGCACCACACACACATGCAGCAAGGTGCGTCCCCAGCCCCTCGGGAAACCAAAGAGGGGAGAGATCTCCGGTCAGACGAGGTGCTGGGCACTGGGTTTAGTGTCCGCAGTTTCCTTCAGTCTTAGCTGTTTGCTTCCCACCGCTTCCTTCAGAGGCTAGGGTCAAAACCGAAAGTCCCGTAGAGACGCGGCCTCCCTGGTTCTGAAGATGAGGAAGCGGAGGTGGTTTTTCACACGATCTCTTAAGACGAGTCGGGTGTACAGGGTGGGCAGCGAACACAAGTGCTCGGTTTAATGTCTGTTGCCTTCTACAGAGTTCGTAAGGTGTTGTACAAATTAAAAGCAAAATTGTGGTTATTTGAATATGAATTATTATCCAGGGAATATTAAGGTGGTTTAAAAGCATCATTAGACGAATTTCAAGCTCATTCTTAGGATAACTAACCTTCTGCAGTGAGAATTCAGTTTCTGTGGTGTTTCCTTACTATTACTAAACCCACCTATTGCTCTAGGTGGGAAGTTATTGCTAACTACATGAACATACATTCTTCTTCTGGCGTCAAAAGAACAGCCAAAGATGTCATTGGCAAAGCCAAGAGTCTCCAGAAGCTTGGTGAGTCCGCTCTGAGAAATCGTCTTGTCACTTTGGACATATATTCTTCACGTAATTTATGCTTTTAATGAAGGACTGAATGGTTGGTTAATGTATTAAACTCTTTCTCAGACCCTCATCAGAAAGACGACATAAACAGGAAGGCTTTTGACAAGTTCAGGAAAGAGCACGGAGTGGTACCTCAAGCAGATACCGCAACCCCGTCAGAGCGATTCGAAGGTAGGTTTGGCTTTCTAAAAACAAAGTGCTTGCCATGATCCCAGGCTGCTTGAAGACACAGCAGACCTCGGATCTGTGCTCGGAATGATGGGAGCAGACACGAGCTACAGAGGTCAGAGGTTCACTTCTGCCACCATCCCTGCAGATCAGCCTTGAGGATACTGTGGGGACAGTGAAGAAGTAACAGCATTTTATCAGCTTATTTCCTGATTTTACAAAATTACTAGTGTCAACAGTGTCCTGGTTTTTAAGGGAAACTCAGATTTAGGAGTAAAGAGAGAACAGTGTATGTCTGTAGAAAAGAAAGCAGCACCCGTGGTAGGTTTACATTTGGGGAACCCAGGGTTTCTTCTACTCTTCAGGAGCATTTAAAGCAAAGACAGGAACTGTTAACGTGCTGTCACTGTCATGGGTGAGCTGCTGCTCCTCTGACTCCAGATCAGGACCATCACTGAGTCACAAACCACTTTAGGAGGTTGTGAAAGGGAAGTGTTAGCCAGCGTCACACTTGCAACAAGGCTTTTTCTACTTGGGAGCTTCTGTTCACGTGGGATGTAATACAAAGTTGTTAAACTGTGACAGAGTGTTTGAAGAGTTTGCTTTGTGAGGTTTCACTGAAAGCATTGTCGAGAGACCAGTCCTTCCCTCAAGTAATCTTGAGTTTGCTTTTTAGATCATAATTCAACACATTTTTGGAGACTTAATTACATGGTAAACTGTAGCCATCACACCTGGTAGTCCCAGGGGTAGCTCTCTTAGTCTGGTTCATTATTCCCAGCTTGGAAATCCAAGACTGACCATATTTTGTGGAGGGGGAGGAAATCGCGCTGTGCTTGTAAAACCCCAGGATGCTTGTGTGAGCTGGGCAGGGTTTGGGCTTTTCAGAAGTAACGAAGTGCAGGTTTCAGCACAGAGCAGAGACATCAAGAGGGTTTATTTCCCGCTCCTTTCCGTAAACCTGTTAAATCAAGGAGACCCTGAGGCCAATAAAAGGAAATCCAACAAAGAACTCAGGATTGGAAAGCTGCCCTCAAAAAAAACTATAGGTAGGCATTGTTTAGAGTATGTGTTTTAATTAGGAAAGAATTCTCCGAATGTTAACTGTAACCAGTGGACCGACTTCTGGTGTTTGTATGGGTGCTGCGTGCCGCCTTTAACATTGCCCCTCACTGCAGAAGCGGGCTGATGCCTCACGTCCTGAAGTAACTCCTGAAGTAACGTGTTTGTGTTTGGGTTTCTTTACGGGGGAGGAGGGGACTACTGGAAATTGAACTCTGGGCTTAGTACTGGCCAGGCAGGCACCGAGCCTGAGCTACATCCCCACCCTGTGTGTGTTGTTCACACATTCCATGTGTGTCAGCTATAAGTGCTTTGCTGCTGAGACAAAATATCCGACACACATTACAGGAGGGAAGTTTATTTGAGCTCAGTGTGGAGCTCAAGGCAGGGTGCTGTGGGCAGAGGGGCATCGCAGAGGAGAGATGGGCCAGAGCACATTAGCCCTCTTCCTGTTCCTGGTATGCTGCCAGCCTGTGCCAAACCAGTCAGTGGGCCCACTTAATCCTCACGTGCTGTAGGTTGAGCCACCTCTGGAAAGCAGCGCCTGTGGGAGCATCTAGACATAGGCCCTCACAGTGACTGCGCCAGCAGTGGAGTGCTCAGATTGTCCCCATGGGACTGGGAGATGCTGACCTTAAGCTTGCTTGTGTGCCACTGAATCCCTGGTGCTTGGCCGGTTCCCTCCTCCAGCCTCCCAGGGCCCTACCCAGCAAGTTAACCAACAGTGAAAGGTCTGCTGAGTATACAGTAGGTGCGAAGACCCCAGAGAATGAGGCAGCTATTTCTCCTTCAACAGGTCCGTGCACTGATTTCACCCCATGGACAACAGAAGAGCAGAAGCTTTTGGAACAAGCTTTGAAAACGTATCCTGTAAACACACCTGAGAGATGGGAAAAAATCGCTGAAGCGGTTCCAGGCAGGACAAAGAAGGACTGCATGAAACGATACAAGGTGGTCCCCTTCTGGTTTATAGACCTCATCATCGTTCACACTGTAACGTGATGCAGTTTGCATTGATTATGTCTGTTGCTTGGGTAGTAATAGGTATCCTCATGATTGTCTGACTGCCTAAGTGGTCCCAGGGCTATAGACATTACAAACAAATGACCAACCTTGGAAACTTCATGAACACTATGCTGGTGTTTAGGTGGTTTTTTTTTTTGGTCCGGTACTAGACCTCGAACTCAGGACCTTGCACTTGCCAGACAGGTGCTTATGCTGCTGAGCTAAACCCGAGTCCCTATAAACGTCAACTGGATGTGTCTTATTAAAGTGACAGCTCTTTAATGACACCATTCTCTCTCCTAGGAACTTGTTGAGATGGTAAAAGCAAAGAAAGCTGCTCAAGAGCAAGTGCTGAACGCAAGTAGAGCCAGGAAGTGACGTAACGACAATCCTCGCTGTGTGTGCATTTTTATAATAAAACTGAAAACACTGTATAAATTTTTTATTTCTAAAATTATATTTATGGTAATAATTTGAATGTGTGCTGCTTCTAATGCTATTTCTCAGAGCACTAAGACTGATGTTACACAAAGCAATCATCAAGGTGGTAATCTTACCCTGAATCTCAGTCAAAGCTTTCCAAACACATTCACGCTTACTTTTTTCTTCAGGGACTGACAGTTCATAATAGGCAGTTTTATAGACTCGCGCTCAAATACTTTTGATTACAAGCATTTTAACCACGAATCCAGCACATGTTACTGCGAATCTGGTTAAAGTCTGGTAGCTGCTCAATAGGACCTGTGGATTAAAAAGAAGGCATTTCAAACTGAATGGGAAGGACACGCCGCCTTTCCGCACAGGACCACAGGAGCCAGGCTTACCAACAGCAGCAACGGCGGGGCTCTTGTCGTAGATATACTTGGTGCAGACTTCTCGAAGAGTCTCAGCGTTCACAGCCTAAAGCAGGAAAGGTCCCATCACCCTGAGCTTTTCACAGTAAAGAGATTCTATACCTGGGACTTTTAAAACTCAGTCAGCCTCTGTAATAATTACCTTTTTACATAAGTCCCAACTGTACCTAAGGTAGACTACTTACATCAATCCTTGCTTCAAGCTCAGGGATGGGAATTCTCCTATTGTAGCATAACATCTGCCTGCCAATATCCTCACAGATTGGCGTAGAACCTGTTTTAAAAAGAAAAGCTAAGTATTAAGCTACAGACTGCATGTCTGGAGACAAGACTGAAGTTTGGGTTTCTTCCGTTTTGGCAGGGACTAGACCCAAACCCGAGCCATGTCCCCAGCCCCGAGGCTTCCCTACCATCAAGCTGCAATAGCATGTTTGTTTTCAGGAGATTTCTGGCTCGTGCAACTTCACTGTCAGTTACACTGGTGCAGAGTCGCATCCTGAAATACACACGGAAACTGGTACTATAAAATCATTGGAAAGCAAGTTGTGAGTCTGATCCCCAGTACCAAAAAAAAATTAGAAAGTATTACATAATTTTAGAGGTTAATGCTCTAAAGGACATTACATATTCTGTATAACATTCTTCAATTTACAAGTACTGTAACTCAACTTAAGTTGAAATTACTAATAATCCTAGTAAGCAAATTGTAAAACAATCCGATTTCTCCAGTTACTGTTTTCTCAGAAATTACATATATAGATTTCTCATTGCTCAACACACACAGATGTTTAATATACTACAAAAACGGGCTGACCATTTTGAGAAACACTAAAATCACTTTGAGATGACACAAATCCACATCCGTCAACAGGATTTGGTCATTAGGTCATTTGTCAGTTTTTCAAGAAATTTAGTTAAATTTAACCTAAACCTAGTAAGGGGCCAAGAATTTAGCTCAGTGGCATAAGTGCCCGCTTGGCAAGCTCAAGGTTGTGAGTTTGATTCCTCAGTATCAAAAAATAAACCTAATAATTGTTATGTCTATATTTAATGATACAACACTAATGTTACGATTCATACATGACATTATAGAGTTGGGCTATAGAGTGGGAAGCCACTGAAGAACACTGGAGGAAACTGAGTGTAGCTTCTGAGACGCTAAGAGCCTGCCTCTGCCTGCTGACTCAAACACTAGCCTGTTTCCTCATGAAAACATTTCCCATCACCAGTGGGATCTTTAGATCACTTTTATACCCTGCCTTTCCAAGCCAGATTAAGACATTTCCTAAACAATCTGTACCTGGGTTTTAAGGTTCTAAGATCTAGAACTTTTGAAGGATTAAGAATTTATAAAACCAGGTTCAGACTTCTAAAAAATATCTGTTTAAAAACATGACAATCACTGCTGCTGCTTTAAAAGATAAAATTACCATCACAAACACAAGAAAGAGGGCTCAGAACACAAACCCTAGTCGAGACTGAAACTCAAGTTACTTTCTCACCATTCTTTTTGCACAGCGTGTACCATGTCTGCAATGGTGGCCGGCTCACAAACCATGTAGAGTCCCCACAGCCCTGTGTCCGTGTAGGAGGTGTTGAAAGACTGGAAGCTGTGGCAGAGATTGCCGTGACAAGTGAGCTGGGCCAGCTTGCTAGATAAGTTCTGTAAGAGAGACAAGAGAACCGTAGATACCGTGTCCAGAGTACCACAAAGAAAATGATTTACACAGCAAACAAATGCCTAAATTTCTCATTTGTATTTACTTTTTTAAGACAGTCTTGCCATGTAGTTCATGCTGGCCTTGAGTTTATGGCAACCCTCCTGCCTCAGCCTCCGGAGGTGGCGTGCACCACCATGCTCCGCCAAGTTTCTGGGTTTTATCCAGCAACTTAGTAATAAAATTAAATGAGGCCAAGAATTATGCTCATCTGACCCAATGCCCAGTATAGAAGCACTCAGTCCTCCTAGTTAATACATAACCACACCTAATTATGAAGCAGTATACTGCGTTATCAACCCTTTTATAGGCCTCTGATCACATATATCTAAGGATGTGAATACTGCATGTGAACCTAAAAGTACTTATGTGAAATACAGTTTAAAGAAATATTTCAGACAAATCTTATTCTGTCTTGAATTTCAGACTTTGGGAATTGTAAAAAAAAAATGCAAAAAAATCCCTTTATCCAAATTTTTTTAACTGGATTTTATCATGTCTGTTTTTTCCTTACATGATTTTTCAAGTTTCAGGGTAAATTACAGATGTTTCTTTACCCCTGAATTCTTTTTTTTTTTTTTTTTTGTCTTTTTCATTTTTATAGGTACCAGGGATCAAACTCACGACTGCCTGCTTGCAAGGCAGGTGCTTATGCCGCTGAGCTAAATCCCCAGCCCACCCCTGAATTCTGCATTGTGCACTAATGAAAAGCAAATTAATCACCTTCGTAATTACAATTAGAATATGAATGATCTAGTAATATTAGTAATTACTATAGTTATTAGAAACTATTGTACTAGTAATTTACTATTATTATAACATTAAGTGTAATTCTTCCATTTTTATTTTCCAGCTATCCCACTACTGATTTCTGTGGTGACAAAAAAAATACTTTTTCTAACCCAAATGCAACTCAGGTCAGTTTGTATTTTAAAACCCACAGAACAAAGCAGTATTTTGCATTTCAAAGAGGGAACAAACTCCTACAAACAGTGTGTTTAGAAAGTAATTTTTCATTTCTCAGGAGAGGCTAAGTGGCTCACCATCCCTCCCCCGAAAGAGCGATCCCAGTTGCCAATGAGTGTGTTTGCAACCATGAGGCAGATGGTATCGGGGTGCGCCCACCCGACCGCTTCCACGGCTATGGCGAGGTGCGCCAGGGGCATCTTGTCGTCCCGCACACGGATCTACAACGCAAAATCAAAACACCTTGTTAAGGTTTAGGTGTTGCAGCTGGGCATGGTGGCTCACGCCTATAATCCCAGCACTCGGGAGGCTGAGGCAGGAGGATCTTTGCGAGTTCAAGACCAGCCTAGGCTATAAGGTGAGCTCAAGACCGGCCTGAACTGCACAGAGAGACCCTATCACAAAAAAAAAAAAAAAGGTTTAGGTGCTGCTGCGCAGCGTGCCTCGCGAGAAGGACGAGTTTCTAGTCCCATTAACTGCCAAGTTAAAATGTTCACCATTACTACTTTTTTCTTTAGCCTATTGGAACTCATTGCACTGTAGTTCAGGAAACTGGCCTAAGTTAAAGTGGGGAGGGGGCAGTACACAGAGAAGCCAGGGCCTCCAGCCTCCGGACCCCCAGCTCTCCTTTATTCTGGGGCAGTCTTACAGTCACTAAGGTAGCCAAGCTGGACTTGAATTCACAATCCTGCCTCAGCGTCCCTGCGCTGGGCTTACAGGCACACACCATCACGCCAGGCCTACGACAAAGACTTACCCCACAGGATCCCTACTGAAATCCATCTTGTATATGTCAATCTGTATTTTTCTATCAAAATTTAAACAAATACATTACAGGTTTGCTTCGATACTGCCAATACTACAGTTCTATGCAACTACCATGTTAGACCTTCCAGATACAATTTTGAGCAGCATCTTCAAAGTGGCAAACCAAGTGAGACTAAGCTCAAAGTGATGAGTAGCAGATTCCGTGCAAACTCTGGCTTGTAACCACCCAACAAATGACACATGTATCGTGGGCAGAATTAAGCCGAGAGCAAACTCCCTGAGCAAGATTTTAGGTCTTTTTGATGGTACGGTTATTTTTGTATCTTAACATATGTCTTAGGCACACTGCCAAAGAAAAATATACAAAGACCAAATTACAACACTGCTCTTAAAACCTTCCTCCCTCAGGAGAATCAGTAGTTAAATGACAGGGCCTGGGCAGGAAAGGAAGTACAGTACCCGTCCTCCTCCCCTTTCTGAAGCTTGAGCCTTACTCCTGGGAAATACTTCGTATATCCGTCTGCAGATGAAACCGAAGTCACCCAGCAGGCTAACTCCGGCCGCAGGCTGGCCCTACCTCGCTTCCCGTGAACTGACAGGGAGGCAGAGCCGGCATCTCTCCTTGGTGTGCACACAGAGAGTCACCAAAATGAAACTTCGCTAAGTCCAGCAGCTCATCGTGGGAAACACCTAAATGAAGGGAAATATGCTCCCATCCAGCAGCCGCACAGGCCGAGTGAGAGCCCGACTGCTGAGAGCTGGTAAACGGGTTCCAGGGGGGCTGGAGCTGCCATCTCTGCTTTGTCCTCGAGTCAGTATGGCCTGAGGCTGTACAGCTTTCATCAACACAGCAGGGTACTCACAAGGACAGGTGAGACACTGGTTCTTACCAAATCCTTACACCTAGCTCTAGGACACAACCTACCCAGAGACCAATTTCCAGTGCTCCCCCTTATCAAGTAGGAAGAAACACAAAGAGCCCCATCTCACTCAAAGCAAGATGGACAACCTTTATTCTTGGAATTCTGCCATCAAAACTGCAGGACAAAGCAGCTTCTTCTCCAGTCTCAACATATCCACTGCTGTCCACACACTCACTAATTCAACATCCAAAATGTGGGGCTCAGATTCTGTGTGTCTCACTATCCAAACCTGGGGCCCCAAGAGATTCAGCCATGAAGGCTCCCCGGCGAGGAGAGGGGGGCTCTCGCTGTGCATCAGGAACTCAGGCAGTCCTGGGATGAGGGGCAGGCACCACCACACCCAGCCCAGAGGTTTCTCAGACATAAACTTGTAAATTCAAATATGTGTACGTGCTTCAAAAAACACTGCTCTAAGATTTCTTTACAACACCCGTTAGAATATGAAAACACCGCTTACACTAACATTGCAAAACTCATTAGCGTAAAACAGGACAGTAACCGACGGTCTACTGTTTGGGCACTCACTGTGGAGGGGTCACACTAGGTATCAGTCCACAGGGTGACAAGATCACGCACGGTACAGGACGGCAGGCGCAGGGGGGAGATGCTTAGCCGCAGTCCATAGGCCACACCCACGTCCCCTTTGCTATGACCTAGTCCACCCTTGGTTGGCCAGGCCACACACTTCACTCCATCTCTACCCGCCACAATCTGTAGGGCAGGGGAACTGGCTTTTTTTTTTAAGACGGCAGATAAAAGTTCATTTAGCACTGCAAAGCTACACATCCTGAAGATTATGAGCTAAACGGCGGCCAGGACGACACATCAGAAGGTTGGGCTGCGGCGGAAACCGGTCTGGCTCCCTGAGTTAAGCTGCCATCACATGTCAGGCGCCAGCTTGCTAAGATGCCACCTGCGCCAGGCTCCCTGGGGGCTCTGAGCTGTGCGAATCTCGGCCAAAGCTGTCTTCTTGGGTCCCCACCTGAGCCAGGCAGGTCCAAGCCATGGAGCCCCACATGGCACCAGGCACAGCAGACCTCAGACAACACGCGAAGTGACGTGAGCTGCTGGGAGCCGCCAGGAGTGAGCACCCAGTCCGAGACACCTGCCCTTCATGGCCCCCTCTCCAATGTTCCCAGAGCAGCCGGCAGCTCACTGCAACGTCCGGACGGAGGGGAACACCTCGCACTGTCTCCACCGCGTCTGATACTAAAAGACGGCAAAAACTGGAACCCAATTAAAATGCACTGCTGGCCTCAATTCAGCCTGCCAGGGAAGGACGTGAACTGGCTCTCCTCTCAGGAGGAAGTGTGCTGTCGCCTGCAGCTCTGGGTGCTCGGTGCCCATTCTCAGGGTCTCCATGCTCCCCACATCTGAGCCAGGGACTCCCTGATGGGAGGAAGAGCCCGTCCCTGCCTGAGCAGGGTAAGGTTCCCGCTCCTCCAGCGGGAGCCCTGCTCCCCAGTGTGAGTGCCTCTCAGGTTGCTCTCTGCATCCCGCCCTGTCAGCGAACCCACTGTGTGCACCCTTTGGACCGAATGGCTCAGCCCATAACCAAAGTGTCAGAAGAAGACACGGAAGTGGCTCCTGCACTCCACATTCCTCTACCGTAAGGCGCTCCAGACAATCTGTTTGTAAATAAAGACTCTGAGGACAGCTCCCAACAGGCTGGCGCTGATGAAAACATTACCCCGCCAACTGCACGGAACATTTACAGAGGTGTAAGCAGACTCACCTCCGGCAGCAGCCAGCACGATCCTCGGCCCCTTGTAATGTGTGGTTATGTAATCCACTAAGTCCTTACGGTTTATGGACCTGCAAGGGAGTAGGTCAACTTTAAAAGGAATAAAAGGCACAGCCTCCAGGTAAAATACCTAAAATCAATGGGACCTTAGCAGTATTCTGAGAGTTAAAAGCAGGCAGAAAAGGGACACAGACAAGAAGTAGCAGAGAACTTCGACTTTTCTGCATCAAGGAAGGCAACCTGACCCCGTCAGCTGCTCACTGCAGAGCAGCTTTGGGCCCAGAGACCCAGGAACTCTGCAAAGCTAAGCTGTAGCTAACTTCAGTCCCGTTCAGACAATCAAGGGGAAAGGGCCTTAGAAACACACTTCTTGGAAGTTCGTAAATATCAAAAATGTTTATACTTACTTAATATTTTCAGTTGGTCCCAAAATTGTCCGTCCGAGTGCTGTATTCTGATAAGCTGTGGCATGAAGATAATCAAAAACAACCTCCTGTAAATTGGTTTCGACTTCCTGCATCTCTCGGAGGATCACTCCGCGCTCACGTTCAATCTCTGCCTCTCCCAGGGTGCTGTTCTGTATGATGTCAGCAAGAATTTCCACAGCTAATGGAGACACAAAGAGACACCAGAAAGCTTCATTTTTAATATTAAACCCTTGAACCAACATCAGAAACCACGACACTGACCAACACGGTGATGACTAAAGTGCCTAACCTGAGAAAATCCATCCATATATTCAATATATTTAAAAGGACAATGTTAAAATTTAAAAATGTAAACTACAAACTACTGTGGGTACAGAGAAACTGGAGGGGAAAATCCTAGATTTGTCATCCTTTTAAAATGACCCTAAATCCTAAATGTAATCCTTTAAAATGACCTTTTAAATCCTAGATTGTCATCCTTTTAAAATGACCCTAACCCTACTTCACAAATGCCATAGAAATCTGCAAATTAACACAGATTGTTCTGTATAAAAACTGCAAAACAGACAATTATCTGTATTTCTACCCAAGTTCTCCTAGCAATGAGACTGCTACGTAAAGAGCCAGAAAAGCATTACGATCCACAGCCCATCCCCCGAGAACCTTACGGAGCTGTGTCCTCTCAAACTAAGTAAAAATCTTAACAGTGAAATAGATTTTATGAGAAAAATTACATACCTTTCTAAAAACAGAAAAAATCCCTTCTTGCAATCATAACCTACTTTTATGAAATATAAAATAATAGTCTTAACCTGTGAACTCTGTTCACTGTTTTTACGTTCACTGTAAGGGGCCCTGGCCCTTAAGCCAAGAATATGACAAAACAGACGCTAAGAGTAAACTGACCAAAGGCAAATGTTCTCAGTAAAGTTATCCGCTGTGTGATCAAGTTCCTCACTGATAAGAATGGGTGACCTAGCCAGGTATCCTGTGCCCCTGTAAGCCTATCAAGAAGAGCCTGGCAGGCTGAGGCAGGAGAATTGCAAATTCTAGCTAATCCTGAGCAACCTAGTGATTTTGTGAGGCTCTGTCCCAAAACACAGTTTCGCAGTTGGGGATACAGCTCAGTGGGTGTGAGGGCTCTGGATTCAAACCCTAGCACCACAGAAAGAAAAAAATAGTGATCATAAATATGTGTTGATCTCTAGCCTAAACAATTAATTATTACCTCACCAGCTTCACCCAGCTGAGGGGGTAAAAACCACAAGCAGAGCCCAGCACCAGCAGCTCTGCAGAGCACAGCTGTTGGGGGCCAGGAATTCACAAAGGCTGTTTACTTTCCCAGGGACACATGGAGGCTCGGGCTTCTGGTGTCCCTTTTGAGACTTCCCATTAACTCTTTTGGGATGGGCCATCCTCCCCCACCCACTAAGACTAAAGCTGCTAAGATGGAAAAGAACATTCCAGAGCGAGGTCCTTAGCTGAAGATCATCTCCGCCCTCCTGAGTCATCCCAGGATTATGCACTGCCTGTGGTGTCATCCACCTCTGGCTCTTCGCTGACCCCGAATCTCCATGGCCTCCTCCACTGTACACTCCCACATACACTGGCTGGCTTGGGGGACATGGGTCTCTGCCGTCCTCCCAACCTCCCACTAGCCAGCCCATCAAGCATTAATAAATTCGTCTGTTTCTCATTTTATCCTTTCACTGTGCCCCTCATACAGGCAGCTGGGGATCTGGGCCAGGTCCCCAGTACATAACCGCTCCACTCCTCCAGCAAATCGTGGCTACCCCAACACACGCCTCACTCCACCAGCCAGCAGCCAGCAGCCAGGAGGAAAGAAAGCTTCCCACTTTCCCCGCTTTGTCTATTCCTCATCACCTTTCCCGCTGCTCTGTTTAAACAAAAAAAAAAAAAAAAAAGGAAGGGGTATCTACAAGGGACAGCTCTCCCAAGGACACAGCGGCCCTGTAGCCTCACCAGGACCACCCCCGCCACCCCCGCAGTCGCTCTACTGCACTGAGGTTTCACGTATGTGCAGGTGAGGATCTCCTGTCCTGCTTTGCTGCTGTCTTGTAGAAGCAAATGAATCCGAGTCAAAAGAAACGCACCGGGGCACGCCCTGCCATCCGTCAAATCAGCCTGGGCCTCAGTTTCCACAAGGGTACAGTGGCAACGCTGTCTAGGAAGCACATGGGTCACACAGACGCCTTAGCCACAGAGCTCCTGGGCCAAGTGCCGCTCACACCACTGGTACACCTCCATGAGGAACCCCAAACCTTAGAGTAATAAAATCACTATACGCGAGGACCTTTAAGGTTAATAACACCACAAATTAGCTCTAAAATACTAAGTTCTGTTGTTAATTCCTCCACTGCAAAAATGCTTTATGTAATAACACTGCTTTAAGGTTTTTAAAATACTCACAAACTGCTGTGCTCGGCTGTCAAAATTATTCTCTTTCTACAAAGTCAAAATTATCTCTATTTTACTGCTTTATAAATGACAATCTTGTAAATGAACATTTGCTCATTTTGCTCAAAACCAACAGTTTTCTGTATCAGACAAGTTAAGAAACTGGAGGCACAGGAAGCAGCACGTGCTGCGGGACTCTGCACGAGCTGCGACCGTGACCGATTTCACGTCACCCGTCACATCTGGAGAAAAAGACACCACAGCTGCCCCTCACCCAGAGTCTGGTTCGCTTTTTTCACATTTCTGAGGGTCACTCTTTGACAACAGCTATCAAACAGTACCCCGTCATGTCTGTACGCGTGTGAAAATGCCACCCTCTCCCGGGTAAACAGCGGCGCTACCTCGGGGCAAGTCTTTGGCGAACGCCTTGGCGTAGTACACGGTCTGCTCCCTGGAGGTGTAGGCGTTGAGGTGCGCGCCCATGTTCTCAATCTCAAGTTCCAGGTCCAACTGGGATCTCTTTTTGGTGCCCTTGGGGGAGAAAAAAAAGGAAAACAAATTGTGATCCCTTTCTTTATCCTTCATCTTCCTAAACAATTCAGATAATGAAATAGAGGACAAGAGCCAAGGTCAGTTTCATACAAAGGCAAATTTGGTTTCTAAAGTACATTCAGCTTCCAAATGATACATATTCCGCTAACCCAAGAGCATTCCAGGAGCAAACCCTCATTCCAATTTTACAAATGAAGTGCAGTAATCATCGCAGACACTGCCCAGGAAAACAGAAACAATAAAACATGGAATGCTGCTGGAGTCGTTCTGAGCTTTAAAATACCAGACCTTGCACTTAACGGCTTTCAAAGAGAATGAGCACTGCAGACGAGCTCTGCGTGCAGTACTTGCGTGGCACGAAGCCCTGGGTTACATACAAACACAGGAGAAAAAGCCACCTAGTAAAGGGAACTCACTGTGGTAAATAAGCCTTCCAACTTGCCTTGAAAGCCATGTGCTCCAGAAAGTGAGCCGTTCCATTGTTCTTCTCATCTTCATAGCGACTCCCAGCATCGATCCAGAGCCCAACCTTAACGCAATCAAAGAACAGCTAAGTCAAACAGTTCCTTCCTTTTGACACACAGTTTGCAGTTTAACACTAAAGTCTTTTTGCCCAAAGTGAGCTGATGCTTCACTCCTATGAGCTGGGGTTTAAATTTCTGACCGTCAAGCTGCTGCTACTGTTACTAATACCTACCTATGCGCTTCACTGAGGACCCAGAATCTTGGCCTAACTCACTGCCAAAGCCAATGAATAACTGGTAGAAAGAACACCCAGGGCCATCAGAAAGCTCAGGGTCGAGTCATGTATTAGCTGCAACCTTGGACAAGGCCTTTTGACTTCCCTGAGCCTGCTTCTTAACTATGAAATGTGAATAATGCCTGCCACACAGAATTACCTTAAAAATCAAATAAGCAAGAAAATGAATGTAAGACACAAGTCACAGTGTGGCTCAAGAAACACCTCTCCGTTGACATTGCTAACAATAAACAAGATGCTTCTAAGAAACAGATGCAGCCATGAAACAGTGCACACAGCTCCTGCATGGAAGGCTGACTGGAAGAGAGGCTCACAACTCAGAGGAACCTGTCAAGGACAAACGCCTACTGGCCCACGAATCTCGGGAAGGTTCGCACCCAGAGTCCAGGGCTGTGGGTGAGGCTCTGTGGACCAGCACTTGCCCAGAGGCACAGCGCTGGGAAGCACCCCTAGCTCTGCGAAGTTTGCTCTCTCCCCAGACAGATGGCACTCCTGGCCACCCGAGTCACTCACCGTGCACGTCGAGAGTCCAGAGTCCTCAGAGGCCACTCTGAGGCCATTTTCCAAACACGTCACCCGGGTCTCAGGAACATTCAGCACGACTTGTGTGGCTGCCTGGGTGCTCCTCAGCCGGCTCCCTCCCAAACACAGCGGCTTGCGGGAGGAGGAGGCCGAAGGAGAAGCACAACCATGTTACTCTCGGAATTTAACAGCGATCAGAAAACCAAATCTACCTCGGACTCGCTACTCTTTCTTGTACAGCTCAGTGATAAAACACCAAGTTATCACGCTCTTGGTTCAATCCTGAGTACCGCAATAAATAAAATCTTTGCCCTTAACCTTGGCTCCCCTGGGATCCACCTCCCACTGGCCTAGATACCTTCCTTAACCAACCACTTTCCTAAGCCGGCAGCATCATTCCGGACATGCCCTTCCCAGGCTCAGGAAAGCCAACAGCCTAATCGGTAGCCATGACCCAGAGAAACAGGCTCGATTTCAATACGTCACTTATCTAGATACAGTTCATATTCACCATGCTGAAAACATGTGGGGGGGGGGCACGAAAAGGAGAGGGGAAAAAAGAACTACACACAACGCAGAAAAGAGCCTTGCGTGACAAGAAGAGCAGTACGTTTTTAAAGGACAGATAAAGAGGATAAGCTGAAGAGCCTCCAAATACATGCCTTGGCGGCCCAGTTTGCTGACTTTGGACTACTAAATCTTCAACAGACATAGATATAGACCTATTTATATGCGAAATATATTTATATATTCCCCTATGTCTTTATAGAAAGCTACAAGCTCTTGCGAAAAAAATGAAAATACAAGCTTTACTTGAGCTGTCCCAAGGTTCGTAACCCAGCTGAACAAGCTCAGTTTGGGGCAAAAACAGAGGCACCATTTCTCTCTAGTTTTCCCCCAAAGACGGGCATGGTGGCACACGCCCGTAATCCCAGCACTCTGGGAGGCTGAGGCAGGAGGATCGCAAACGGGATCCCAGCCTGGGCAGTTTAGTCACTTCGCGAGACTCTGTCTCAAAACAAAAATAAGGGCTAGGTATGTAGCTTAGGGCGAAGGTCTCGGGTCAACTCCCCGAACCAGAAAAAGAAAAGATCCCCCAGTTTGCACGCAAGATGTCAGTGGCCCCAGCACCGGAGAGCCGGGCCAGCGACCGGGATCGCCGCCGCCCCGCTCAGTCCCCGTCGCGCAGAAGCAGCGAGGCCGTGGGGGGCGCTCACCCGCTTGTCCGCGCGCGGAACCACGAGCCTCTCCGCGAAGCCCCACAGGCGCCGCCTCGCAGCCGGCAGCAGCACCGCTCGGGCAGCCGCCGCAGCCGCCATGGCCACTAAAGAGAAACAGAAGGAAGTGCTTCCGGGTCGTGACCTCCGCCCCGGAGCCGGGGGCGGGCGCCACCTGGTGGCCGCGCTGGGAATTCCACGGTGGCGGGCCGATTCGGAACCGAGAAAGCAGGCGAATTAGGAGACCGCGTCCACCCGCCCCACTGCAGTGGACTGGCCTCGCTGTCCCCCGTCCAACCTGCGCCGCCCGGCTGTCACCCCCCTTCCCACTGCCGCCCCGGGTCCTGTGCGGATGCAACTCCTGGCCTCGCAGAAGCACTGCCAAGTGATTTTTATCAAAATTTCCTTAAACACGATATATTTTTTTCAATCATAGATTAAAAGTAAGATGACATTGCGCCTTCATGTAGGGGAATTCTGAGTACATCTTCTGTCATTCTCTATTTCTTCATTTTTTTTTAAAATTAATTTTATTGGTACATTTTAGATACACCTACTGCTGACATTATCGTGTGGAATTTGTACCTGTACATGATTATATGGATTGTTCTTTTTTCCCCAGTCCCCTCCCACCCTTCAACCCCTCTTCCTCTCCTTAGACACAAAAGCTTTGTTTCCATTTCTTCCTTTTGTTCTTTTTTCCCTTTTTCATCCCATCCCTTCCAGCACCTGCCTCTTGTTTCCTTTCCCACTCTAACATTTTCTTCTTGCTCTCCAATATCTGTTGGCAGTTTTGGTACTTACTTATGCTTCCACTTTCTTACACAAGAGAAACAATGTGCTGTTTACACACACATGTAATTTATTTCACCTAAGAGTATAATCTCAAGGTGCATCCATGAACCTTGAGAAAGGTCTCCAGCTTGTCCTTCTTTATGGCAGAGTAGTACTCCATTGTATAAAAAAAACCACATCTTTATCCATTCGCAAGGTGATGGACATTTGGACTGCTCCCAATATTTAGCTATTACTAACTGTGTGTATATCACTGTGGTATGATGCTTTTAATTCTTTCAGGAAGATAGAAGAGGAATATGTGGGTCAAATGGACCATCTAGCTTTTCTGAGGACTCTCCACAGTGATTCCACAGTGGTTATAAAGTCTATGGTCCCACCAACAGTGGAGAAGAGTCCCCGTTTCCCCACATCCCTGCCAGCATTTGGTATTGGTTGATTTCTTGATAATAGCCATTCCTTCTGGAGTAAGATGGAATCTCAGTGTTATTTCAGTTTGCATCTTTCAAATGACCAGTGATGCTGAACATTTTTTCATATATTTATTTGCCATTTCTACCTCTTCATCTGAGAAGTGTTTATTCATTTCAGATGCCCATTTTTGAATTGAGTCTTTAAACTAGGGAGAGGGTCTCATTTTTTTCAGTTCTTAATATATTCCAGATATTAGTCATTGTCTGAGGAACAGCTGCCAAAATTTTTCCGCACTCTGTGGGTTGTCTCTTCACTGTCAGTGGTTTATTTTGCTGTGTAGAAGCTTTTTAATAAGATAAGATCCGGGGCTGGGGATTTAGCTCAGTGGCATAAGCGCCTGCCTTGCAAGCAGGCAGTCGTGAGTTTGACCCCTGGTACCAATAAAAAGGAAAAAGACAAACAAACAAACAAAACAATAAGATAAGATCCTAGTCGTTAATTTTTGTGATATTTCCTGCCTGATCAGGGTTTTGTTCATAAAGTCTTTGCCTTCAGTAAAATCTTTCAGAGTTCTATCTGTTATACCTTCCAGAAGATTTAGTGTTTCTGTCTTTATAATATTTAGATGTTTATCATTTTGACTTTAGTTTAGTGCATGGTGAAAGGTGCAGGTCCAGTTTTAATCTTGGCCTGTGGAAAGCCAGTCCTTCCTGCAGCTTTTATTAAAGCCGCTGTCTTTCTTCCAGTGAAGGTGTTTGGCCTCTTTGTGAAACAAAGTGGCTGAGTGTGTCTAGAGTTCTTTCTCCATCTTCTGGTCTGTCCCATTGACCCTTAGGTCCGGTTTTTTGGGGGTTTTTTTGCCAATAATATGCTGTTTTTATTACAGTAGCTTTGTACAATAATTTCAGATCTGAGATTGTGATGTCTCCTGCCTTGTCTTTCTTGCCCAGAACTGCTTTTGCTGTCATACATTTCTTCCAGTTCCAAATGAATTTTAGGATCGTTTTCTCTAATTCTGTGAGATATGCTATTGGTATTATGCATGGAATTGTATTAAATCTGTATAACAGTTTTGGAAGTATGGCCATTTTTACTATACTGGTTCTTCCTACCCAACAACAAAGGACATATCTCTGTTTTCCAATATCCTCTTCAATCTCTTTTTTTAGAGGAATTTTAAACGTAGAAGTAATTTTCAACGTAGAAGTCTTTTACATCCTTTGTTAGATTGATTCTTAGGTATTTCTTTTGTTTGGATGAGACTGTAAAAGGTGTTGTTTCCTTGATTTCTCTCTCAGTAAATGTGTTATTTGTGTACAGGAAGACTTGATTTTTGAGGGTTGACTCTGTATCCAGCTACATTACTCAATTTGCTTATTAAATCTAGTAATCTTTTGGTAGAATTTTTGAGATCTTCTATGTAGAGTATCATGTCAACTGCAAATAATGATAGTTTAACATCTTCCTTTCCTATCTTTATTTCTTTTATTTCTTTCTCTTATCCAATTGTTCCAGCTAAATTTTCCATGTCTAGGTTGAATAAGAGCGGACACATTGGACATCCTTGTCTTGTTCCTGATTTCAGAGTAAAAGCTTTCAATTTTGACCAGTACGATGCTGACTGTTGCTTTGTCATAGATAGCTCTTATCAGATTGAGGTAAAGACCCTCTGTTCTAGTTTTCCGTAGGGTTTTTAATCATGAATAGGAATTGAACTTTATAAAATGCTTTTTCTGCATCTACTGAGACAAGCATCTGTTTTTATCCTTTGCTCTGTTAATCTGGTGTATTATGTTTATTGATTTGTGTGTGTTGAACCATCCCTGAATCCTGGGATGAATCCTATTTGATCATAGTATATAATCTTCTTGATGATATGCTGCATCCTGTTTGACAGTATCTTTTTTGTTTGTTTGTTTGCCAGTATGTTACTAAGGAGCTTTCCGTCTATGTTCATTAAGAAGATTGGTCTGTGCCTCTCTTTTGCTTGGCTCCTTCTCTGGTTTCAGTACCAGGGTAATGCTTGCTTGAGGAATGAGTTTGGGAGTACTGCTTCCTTTTTAGTTTCAGAGTCTGAAATTTTAATTAAAGAGTCTGAAAAGTAGCAACATTAGATCTTCTCTCAATTTCTTTCTTTCTTTTTTTTTTTTTTTTTTTGGTACTGAGGATTGAACTCATGACCGCATGCGTACAAGGCAGGTGCTTATGCCGCTGAGCTGAATTCCCAGCCCCTTCTCTAAATTTCTTGTAGAATTCAGCAGTGAATCCCTCAGGACCAAGCTTTTGTTTGTGTGTAGATTTTTAATTACATCTTTAATTTCATTGAATGATATTGGGTTATTTAGAGTCCTTAGGCTGGACTTGGTCGTGCATGCCTGCAATCCCAGCACTTGGAAGGCTGAGGCAGGAGGGTCACTGTGAGTTTCAGGCCAGCCTGGTCTATAAAGCAAGTTACAGACCAACCTGAACTGCATAGCAAGACTGTCTCAAAAGGACAAAAATAAATGAATAAATAAATAGAGTCTTTACATTTTCTTGATTCAGCTTTGGTAACTCATATGTCTGTCCATTCCTTCTGTGTTTTCCACATTATTAGAATAATTTTTCTTAAAGTAAGTATTAATGACCTGGATTTCATCAGGCTCTGTTGTGATTTCATACTTCTCGGTTTTAATTACATGGATTTGTTTTTATCGGGACCAGGGATCGAACTCACGACTGCCTGCTTGCAAGGCAGGCGCTTATGCTGCTGAGCTAAATCCCCAGCCCCTAATTACATGGATTTGAATATTTTCTTTTTTTGATAAGTTTGGGTAACGGCTTGTCAATTTTACTTAGTCTTTCAAAGAAATAACTCTTCAATTTACTGATTATTTGTATTGTTTTCTTAGATTTAATTGCATTAATTTCTGCTCTAATCTTCATACTTTCCTTCCTCATCTGAGCTTTGGGCTTGACTTGCTCTTCTTGTTCTAGAAGCTTGACATTAAACGTTATGTTATTTATTTGAATTTGTTCCATTTTTCTGATTTGGGAATTTACCACTGTGAATTTCCCCCCTGAGGACCACTGTCACTAGGCTCCGTAAGTTCTGGTATGTTGTATTGTCACTACCAATGAATTGTAGAAACTGTCTGATTTCTTCTTTAATTCATCTGCAGTCCATTTGTTGTTCAAGAGGGTATTATTTAATTTGGCTTATGCTGGTGCATATACTTTCAATAGAATTTTTAATCCCCTTGATAGCATATTGAGTCTGTTTCATGGATTCTAGTTCTTTCCTATGTTGAGCATTCATGGTTTTCATCGTTTTCCCAAGTTCTTCTATTTTTTAAAATCTATATCTTCTCTAGACTCACTAATCATGCCCTCCATTACGGTCATCATCTCTGAAGTTATCTGAGAAATTATTTCTGAAAGCAGCAGAATGAACCAATGTGAAGACAAATATCAGATCTAGAGGACAAGACTGAAGTTAGGAATCATGAAAAGTTTCTTTAAAAATAGCAAGGGACCACAAAAAATCAATCCAACAGCTGCTAGATAATGTAAAGAAGAATAACATAAGATTGATCATAGTCAATGAAAAACATGAGATAGCACAAATAAAAAACTGTTCGCAAAAGGCAGGAAACATCCAAGCATGGAAAAAGAATTTGACGTGTTGATGAGGAAGGCCTATTGACCGCTGACAGCCATGACTAAAAAATCCATATCAAGGCATATAATATTCAAGATTTCAGAAATTCAACACAAGAACAGAATATTACAACCTATGAGAGAAAAGAAACAAATCACCTATAAAGGAAAGCACATCAGAATTACAGCAGACTTCTCATCACAAACCCTTAGGTCCAGAGGAACTGGGAGTGATTTTTTCTAGAACATTCATTTGCTTTATTGCTTCTGCTGCTATCACTTCAGAGAGTCC